TTTTTTTTTCTTTCGTTTTCTCCCCGCTGTTAAGGTGCGATGCCGCCTAAGGACCGCAGCAGAGGCAAGCTGCCAGCTCCCCTCCCAAAAGACATGATCCTGAAAGACACCGAAGGAAAAGTCTGGAGGCTGGGTGGTCAGATCGCCCAGGGAGGATTTGGCTTGATCTATTTAGGTAAAATACCGGTCGTGATCAGAAGGGTGACTTGTAAATATATTCCTAACTTCCTGACCTAAGACAGAGTTGAAAAAGTTACTGTTGTTTACATGCTGGTGGTCATCTGTGTTGAAGTGTGGTTTTCTGTGGTTTGCAGCTCCCTGTTGGGTGACCTTGTAGCTCAGAAGTGTTGCTGGTGGTGCAGTTTGTTCTCCGTGGGCTGTCCACCCCATTTTGCTGGCTACTAGTGGAGTTTTCTACAGATCTGGGGTGGGGTAGACAAGGTGCTGCTGCTGTCAGAGACTGCCAAAGAGCACGGCCAGGCAGTGCTCTTCAAACTATTGGTAGTGCTTTCCTTACCTGCTGCCTTGGATTTATGCCAGTCATGCTCTGGAGTGCTCTTTGGGTTTCAGGTCACTGGAAGTGTTATCTTCTGGCCAAGACTAAATCAGTTTTCATCCCAAGAAACATAACAGTAACAATAGTTAGCTGGGTGTTGCCTCTGAATCCAAGTCTTTCACCAGAGGTGGAAATGCTGTTCTTGATTTGCTCCAGCCTAGATAGGTTTCTGTATTTTCATCACAAGAAGCTGCTGCATTTCACTCAGTCTGTTTTATTAAAAGAATGGTTCTGAAAGGCAGTTTGTAAAGCATTCTGGGTCACTGGAGAGGATATAATGTATGTTACTATTGCTGGTGTCTGTGAAAGAGTAAATCCTGTTTTCAAGGCAATATTGTGAGTTTGGGGATTTTTTTGCACGTCAAACTACTCCACAGTGTTGTTAGGGACTAAATTGAGCTTGTATTAAGACAGCAGTAAAGAATTATCTGGAAGCAGTTTAGGACATTGTCCCTGGAGCCAAACATGATATTTTTAAAGTTAGAGGTATGTTAACTCTCTATTTGGAGTATTTATGTTTAAAACTTGATAAGGAAGTCACTCCTATGTATAAATTGACTTCCTTTTATGCATAAATCATCTATACCTTCTTTCTTTGAGCTTTGCCTTTTTGTGTGTTTCTGTCATGGGAAATAGTTTTGATTGTTTTCCACTCTTGTTCTTTTCCAGTTGATCTGTTAATGACGTTTCCTTCATATTGAGTGAATTGTCAGAAAATAATCTGTTAATACACTGTTATGAAGCATGAGCTTTCCACTTAGTGTGAGTTCCGGATGATTATAACGAGACAAGTTTTCATTAGAACAGGCATTGTGTGTCATGTGCCTTCTTATTTCTTTTGTCTTTAATTCCTTTCAAATATGCAGAGCTGCGCTAGGTTTGATGTGGCTTCATTGAGGTGAAGGAGATGTCCATCAGTGTCAAATTGTAGCATCAGGCACCTACTGTAGAGAGAAAAAGTGTGTGTTTTCTACAGAAGGGTTAGCATGTTTGCTCTTTTCGTATTCGCAGGCATAAATGTAGCACTTGTATGCCACTCATCTCTTGGTGACTGATTTACTGTGATCTTTGTTACATCTGTCTGGCTATCTCATGGTGCTTGTCTGCTTTCAGCTGTTCAGGAACATTTTATATTGCACTGAAGTGTTCTTCCTCTCCCTCTCTTTTCCTCCTTGTGTCCATTATGGTTAATCACAAAGAACTGGATGGCAACTGAAGACTCATATTTTTATTTCATGGTGTAATAGTCCTATATGTGGTCAGATGTTGCTTCTCTAGAATGGTTGCCAGTGGTTCTTCCAGCTGATAATGTGTGGCTGTAAACTACAGGAGGCTAGATAGTTTTACTTGTGCACCTGCACTTGTTGCATCTGGACTTCAGGTTTGAGTGGAGAAACTTTCTAAGGGGTAGAAAAGGCCTAAGCTGGCCCTTTGTTCCACTGAATGGCTATGTAAACAAAGCAAAAAGATTTCAGTAACAACCTAAATGCCACTGGTTCTGCTTTTCCTCAAAGTAAACCCAGTCAGTGAAGAACCTGGAGAAGTCTGAGGCTGGGTATATGTTTACAAGTTTGGTGTAACAGAAGTGAATGAGTTAATGACAACAGTTGGTGGTTGTGGCTTTATATCTACTTTTTATAGAAGTTGAGGCTTTGTTTTAATTAGGACTAGATTTGAGATGGTCTGTTGCACTGAATTTCCTCACCAAGTGTGTGGTTTGAGGCTATCTGAAGAAATTGTTTTGAATCCTTACGTTGATGCTGGTAGTTGGAGTACATCTGATGGGTTCCTGCCGTGGTGTTTCTTCTTTGGCTTCCTCTGGAATTCATATAGTTCACACATACCTAACTGCTTTCCAGACTGAACCAGTGAGGATAATAGGGGTTTCAACCAGCTGCAGTTACAGAGGAGTCAAAGGTTAGTTCACTTAAAGAATATTTACTTTGTTTTTCCTTTTGATATATCTGATAGCTTATTATGACTTTCTTTGAAAAATAGTTGGTTACGTTTCAGAGACGTTGTGCATAGAGCATGTGTGAGAGGTTACCATAGAAAAATAGGCCTTGGCCTGAGCCGGGAAGTGAAGTTAAGGTGTCTCTGGATATTGCCATTCAGGAACAAAGGAGAGGAAAACAGAAACTTAGAGAAGGCTCCCATGGAGAGGAGGGACTGAGGGAGCTGGGGATGCAGTGCAGAAAGCAAGGTAGTAGTAGTTTTCCATGTGAAAGACAAAAAACCGTTGTGTTCCTGAATCACTCAAAATATAGCTCTGTCGTTTGCTGCTGCAGTCAAATCAGTCTGGACCTTGTGGGTGGTATAGCCCATGGGATTCAGTCAGATTCATGCAGATTTTATTCGTTTTATGCCTGATCACACAGACTACTGAGCTGATTTCATGTCTTGTGGTGTTTGTTGCAGTTTGGCTCCCAGTGAACTGAGGTAGAAAGCAGTCAGTGGATTAGTTGAGAATGACAATACAATCTAGGACCCTTGGTATTACTATTCTATGTTTTTTTTGTAAGTGACAGCATGGCTGAAGCAATACAGCTGCCACTTTTATATCTCTTCTTTTATAAGGGATAGTGAATGTTATATGTAGCTCTGAACTGAAGGCTTAGTTCCCCTTGTAGCTCATCCTACAATTAAAAGAGGAAATAGGCAAGATTTATCCCCAAGTATTGACCCTGTGACTGAAGCTTTTGTGTTTAGTCCACCTCTTTCTGATATGTATTTATATTATGTAAAGTATACCATTAGGTAGCTTTTCTGGGTCTTCATCTTGCAAAAAGTCCAGCTGCCTTGGGAGAGTCAAGGGGAGTGAAGTAGATGATGAATATTTGAGAGTAAGCTGTGGATGCTTGGTGATGAGGGGCACCTTCTTTCTCTGTGCTCTTCAGACTAAACTGTAGTGCATATGCAGCAAGGTGTGAGAGGACCACTAAACTTTCAGTGAGAAGCTAACCCAGAAAAAGCTGTAGAGAGGTGGGCAGGATAGGAGAGTGGAGACAAGATTCGACTGCCTGCCAGATATCAACAGCACAGACCTTTTATGAAAGTAAAGGTTAACTTTGCCAGCTATATCTTTTAATAAGTATTTTTACAGTAGCAGTGTAAAGATTTTGATGTGCGTTGTTATAGCTTAATTTCCCATTAAGGGTATTCCGTACTCCATTAATCTATAACAGTGTTCTTGAGAAATTTTACAGTACCTCTGCAAAATATATTTATAAGGGTTGCATTCTGCAGAAGGCTCTGTTCACTAAATGAAACCTACTGGAAGCCATTTACTGACCCTGACCCCCACGATGCAAATAGTCTCTTCAGGTGCACAGTTTCTAAGCTTTCAATGATGTATGTGAAAGTTATCACTATCTACAAGTTCTGTCCTGCCCCTGTTTTTTTAATTATTCCTTCTCTTTCCTATCTGTGCCATCTTGTCTGCTTCTTTGTTGATTTGTTCCTTCCCTTGGATTCCCTTTGCATGTTTATCTTGACCAGAGCAAATCTAGGAGCAGAAGGCTTAAAAATACTGATTCCTCCCAGTGAAGAGGAGAGCTTCTGCTGCTGCCAGCAATAATAGAAACCATTTAGAGATGTTGCCTCATGTGTTGCTTCTGTTGTAGCAAGAGCAATATGGATCATAAGATGGAATTAACTATACTGTTGTGTGTTAGACATTTTATTTTTGTTACTGGTGCTCATTTGCAGGCCCCTCAGACAGAACTCTTGTCCCTTAGATAAGGGAGGGGGGCAAAATGGAGAGCAACCAGCAAAGAATGTGACATTGGTGGGCTCTGTGGAGAACAGTGGCAGTACATTGGAAAATTAAGAGTTGAGGAGGGTGCTACTGAGAGCCTTACATTCTCTCATTTATCTTCCTCATTTATCGATACAGTCAGTAATTAACACCAGTCTTTATATAAATCATTTTCTAGTCCTACTGCAAGCACTCTATTAATGCACAATTTGGACTGAAAATTTAAATGCAGAAAGGTCACACAGTGTTTTGTTAAGATTCTGCTGTCACAGTGAAATCTACTGTACACAGCATTATCTGTTTGCAGGCTTCTTTCTCATGGAAACTGACGGTTCTGCAAAGTGTTTCTTATATGTGACTTTACATACATATGTTAGTGTCTTTTACAATAGAACTTACTATTTGGTAAATGTGATTTAATTGTTTTATACCTGTGTATTGTAATGGGACTTTAAGTGATAGGTGAAAACTAAGAGTTTTGAAAACATTTTTTGTAACTGGCTTTGCAGCAGGTGCTTATGTGTTGCTGTTTGACTGCTAGTTTTGCATGTGGTTTTACGTGAAGCTCAGGACAGTATGTATTGATAAAGCTATAATCAGTAATAATTCTGCCCTGCTTGGAGTTGTGTCACTAGTATAGCCAGAAGACTTTTTCATTTTTCTTCCCCCCCCCCCCCCCCATTTTCCAAGGAGCAGCAAAGAATATCTGCTTGAGCAGTAAACAGTGATTGTTGTCTTTTAATGGTGAATATTGTGTTTTAATACCAGCAGCACAGGGAGCTCTGCTGCTGCTGGAGGTAGGGAAGAGCTGTGCTTGTGGCCTTTTCTACTTTTAAGCTTGGTCTGCAATACTTACTCTCCA